CTTTCAGAAGAACAACAACTCTTTTATTATAAAAAAGGAATATTACCAAGTTTACTCCCTATGATTATATTGCATAAACCTACGGATATTGTGGGAATTATGGATTATGCCTGGATGCATGAAGAAAATACTGATTTTGCCACCAATGCTAATCCAGTCCAGGGAACTTCATCAAGGAATTTGGAAAGGGATATAGAGTTCCTTACTCAGCAAATGCAACAAATATTCCTTAATTACGCCACCCTAGCATCAGCATTGACCGCTCAAGTCCCAGCAGAGCCGTCTCAACCAACCCAATTAACTCAACTGCCCCAAATACCTAAAATAACCAAAACCCTTTGGTTTGTTATCACTGCAGCGAAATGGGATATTTCGCTCGGAATTATAAGTCAGAAAAGAAACCTGTTAAGGAACAGAAGGCTCTATCAAATAATGACAAGTCCAAGAATGTTAGTTACGCCAATGCAGAGTATGAGGATGATTCTTGGGACCAAAAAGAGTTGGTGTATATCTTCCAGACACCCCAGCATCAATCATACATTAAGGACTATAAGGAGACTAAGCAAAAGCAATCTGAATCGGAAAAAGAGAATGCTTTGCTAAAGAAGACCCCAAAAGTACCACCCACTTTCGAAACCCCGGATCAAAAGGACTCTATGGATATTACGGTAAATTTTCCAATTGGTAAGAAGGTAATCAAAAAAAGAATGCCTTCTATCATCGACCAAATTCAGCTCTATGATATAGCGGAGGATATATTAAATCTGAAAGCCAATATGACATTGGCACAAGCCCTTAAATATCCTGACCAGAAGCGAAATCTGGCCAAGATTATGAAAAGACCTAAACAACCCACTACCAAAGCTAACAGTTTAGAAACAGACAAGGCCCGGAAAACTGTGGCAATGAGATGTAACGTGAAGATTAAGGGCACCCCAGTCATAGCAATTTTGGATTCAGGTGCTGCTATGAGTATCATCACCAACAAGCTAATAAAAAGATTAGGGCTTGCACCAACCAAAGAATCCAAGATAGTAGTCGTAACTTTCAATAGTGGCAGATCAAAGACCCTTGGCATCGTAGAAAATATAAAGATCATGTTACAAGGCATAGTTATTCCAATTGACCTACAAGTTATAAAATCTATGAATGAGACTCTCTTACTTGGAACAGATTGGTTTGCCAAGTCTTGTACCACCCTGAATTTCGGAAATCATACCTTGCATATTAAATATGCAGGTAAGCAGGCCACCATCAACACTACCCATACTAGCACCACCCTACTATTTCCCATCAAAGATACAGATGAGAAGGATGATGATCAGTGGGTGAATAAACTTGATGAAGAATCAGAGACCTTTTTTCTCTGATGAAGCCACAATGGACTTCGAAGATTGGTTATTTTATAATCCTTGGGAAAATGAGGTTAGCCCAGCCATATGTTTGGTAGAAACAATAGATGGCATGCACCAACCAGAAACCCCACCCAATTATAATATTGGCCAAGAAGTTACTCCACGGCAAAAAGAAGCAGCCTATAAGTTGTTGCTTCAGAACCACGAAGTTTTTGCTACAGATATCTCGGAAAATAGGCAGACAATGGGGCTCGGATGTACTGATATAGTACAACATCAGATTAATACCGGAAAGGCCCAACCAATCAAGCAGAAGCCCTATCAGATTCCACCAGATCAGCAAGACTTTCTCCAAAAAGAACTTAATAAAATGGAGAAATTAGGAGTTATACGCACCGTTGAAGGACCATGGGGTTCCCCAGTAGTAATCGTACCTAAAAAAGATGGGAAACGAAGAATTTGCGTGGATTATCGCAAGTTAAATGTGGTAACAGAAAAGGATATTTATCTTTTACCTAATATCAATGAAATTCTGAATAGCTTCGGAAAAGCCAAGTGGTTTTCTAGCTTGGATTTGGCTAGTGGCTATTGGCAAGTAGCCATGGCTGAGGAAGATAAGAAAAAGACAGC